GCAGGCAAAATGGGACCTGCTAATCCCCAAATTCTTCTTCAACTTCCTGTGTTACTTGATCTACATGTTCCTCTTCACCGCTGTGGCCTACCACCAGCCGGCCCTGGAGAAGGCAAGGCCGGGCAGGGGCGCGTTCTGGGGGAGGCCTCCTGGGAACGAGCCTGGAAGAAGACAGGGCGTGGATAGCCAGACCCATCTGCAGATCCTCACGCCGAGGCTTTGAACCCGGGCAGTCTGGCGCCCGACCCCACCCTCAAAACCACGACAGTGTGCCTCTCTGATAGGCTAGAATGCGGGGGTCCTGCCCGGGAGCCCGTGTTCCTTGTGTGGCTCTGCGTGGCCTCTCCACAGCTCATGCTCAGACCGGGCCCTCGGCCAAGAGTCTCACAGTTGGAAGGGGACTCCAGGCCCCAGGTCCTACCAGAGTGTCTCTTCCGCAGGCTTTCTTGCCCCCAGAAGTGACTGCTGGAGACCCCATGCTGCTCCTGGGCCACATCCTGGTCTTGCTTGGGGGGGTCTACCTCCTCGTGGGCCAGGTAGGGCTCTTCCCATTCCCCCCACCCCCACCCCCAGACAACTCTATGGGCTCCCAGAACCCCCCAGAAGCAAACGTAGAATCCTGCCAGGAGGGGCCTTAGAGAGAGTTAACCACAATCCCTTCATTTCTCAGGAAACCGAATCCTCTACCCAGTCCCACCCCTCCCAGCCTCAGGGCAGCTGAGGGCCTTGGGTTCTGGGGCTGGTACCTCCCTGCTGCGCTTTCTGGGGGTGCCCGTGGGGTACCACGTGACTGCTGTGACTCCTCGGCAGTGCCCCCACCCCCAGGTCCCTTGGCTGGGGCATTCCTCACTTGGGGACCACAGACAGGTGGGCGGGGGCAGGCTCAGGCCGACTCCCCCAGCAGGGCCTTTTGAGGTGAAAATGCGGGAGGCAAGGCTGGGCACTGTGACACTGAGCCTCTCTCAGAGTGGGCAGGACTTCGGGACCAGATCCAGGTTGGGGGGGTGTCCATGTGAGGCCAGGGGTGGGGGAGGGGAGGGAGCTCTTCCCCTCACTAGGAGTAGTAAGCGGGTTCATCTGGATCCACGGGGAGCTCGGAGGCCCCTGGCATTGTCTGGATGTCTGTGGGTGGCTACACTTTCTGGAAACAGGCTTCAAAGCTTTCTCAGCAGGATTCATGAGCCTCCCCACCACTCCGCCGCTGCCCCGCAAAGTCCAAGAGGCTGCTTGAGCCCCTGAGGTCACAGAGCCAGGCCAGCAGGCAGGGGCACAGTGGGGAGCCCAGGCTAAGGCCCCACGGCCTGGAGAGCACGTTTCACACCCCTGTGCTCCTCGTCCCACAGCTGTGGTACTTTTGGAGGCGCCGTCTGTTCATCTGGATCTCCTTCGTGGACAGCTACTTTGAACTGCTCTTGTACGTGGGCCCCCCTCCCCTCCCCTGTCTCAGGCCCCGGAGAGGCTGGTGTGGCAGAAGGCACCAGGCTGGCTCGAGAGGAGAGGACCCGGAGCCAGGGAGTGCGGGGGGCCTGGGACCACAGCGCCGGCTCTCAGGCCTGGGCCTCCCATCCCTGACAGTTCCCTGTACTGAGCGCTCGCTGTGCACCCGATTGGGCCCGGCCCCAGACAGATGGAGACCTTCTCGTGCATCAGGCCGTGGTGGGAGAGGGCGCAGTGGTCCGCAATCTGTAACGTGGCGGGGCGGGGGGGCCCGCCAGGCGGCCTGCAAGCTGACCCGAATTCTGTCCCTGCACAGCCTGGTGCAGGCCCTGCTCACGGTGCTGTCCGAGGTGCTGTGCTTCCTGGCCGTGGAATGGTACCTGCCCCTGCTCGTGTCCTCGCTGGTGCTGGGCTGGCTGAACCTGCTTTACTACACACGTGGCTTCCAGCACACGGGCATCTACAGCGTCATGATCCAGAAGGTGAGAGACGAAACGGGGGTGGCCGCGGTGTAGCCTGACCGGGCAAAGCCGGGCGCCACACTCCAGCAGGGCTCCCTTGGGCCTCGGCGGGCAGGCGCCCTCCTCCACAGCTGACCTGCGCAGAGGAAAACGCGAGAGCGCGTCTGTCCGTGTGTACAAAGGCAGCCGCTCGTGGACTGTAGGCAGGAGTATGAGCGTGCAGGCGTCTGCCCTCAGGGGTCTGTGCTCTGCACGGGTAAGCAAACAAGTGACCCCAGGGGACTACGTGCATCCTAGGCCAGTGGAGGCGCGGACACCGTGCACGTTAGCTCATCTGCCTACCCGTGCCCTGGGACGTCCGGGCCTGTGGACTTTTCTCTATTCATTTACTTATTCAACCGAAGTTTAGGAAGTGTGTCCTGCGGGCCAGGCCCTGTTCTAAGTGTTGGAATACGCTCCTTCAGTCGCTAACAAAATGGGCAAGGCCTCACCTCTGCTGCAGCGGACATTCTGGTAGGGGACGTGAAAACACTAAGAGAGACAGATGAGAACATTACAGATTGCTCTATGCTATTTTTTTTTTTTTTGAGAGAGCAAGTGAGGGGGAGGGGGCAGAGGGAGAGAGAGAAGCAGACTGGGGGCTCGATCTCACGACCCTGGGATCATGACCTGAGCTGAAATCCAGAGTCGGACGCCTAACTGACTGAGCCACCCAGGCGCCCCTGATTAGATGTTTTTGTAAAGACTGTGTGTAGCTCCACGGGGCCTCATGTATGCACGCATTTGTGCGTGTGGGTGCTGTGTCCATGGGAACCCATGCTCGGGGCTGAGGCAGGGGTCGGGGGTCAGGCCCGATGGCCCAGCCACCCATCCTGGCTCCTGGGTGTGTGTGTTCTAGGTCATTCTGCGGGACCTGCTCCGCTTCCTGCTCGTCTACTTAGTCTTCCTTTTCGGCTTCGCTGTAGGTAAAGTCCCCCCTCTCGCCCCTGCCTATCCCTTGCCCACTCTGTACACTCTGGAGGCTGCCCCCTGGCCTCCCCAGGCTGAGGATCCTCCTTCCTCCCCTCCCTGCAGCCCTGGTGAGCCTGAGCCGGGAAGCCCGGGCCCCCGGGGCCCCCAGGGGTCCCAATGCCACGGAGGCAGCGCAGCCTGGGGCAGGACAGACGGATGAGGAGGGCAGCTCTTCCCCATACGGTGACATCCTGGACGCTTCCCTGGAGCTGTTCAAGTTCACCATCGGCATGGGAGAACTGGCCTTCCAGGACCAGCTGCGCTTCCGCGGGGTGGTCCTGCTGTTGCTGCTGGCCTATGTGCTACTCACCTACATCCTGCTGCTCAACATGCTCATCGCCCTCATGAGCGAGACCGTCAACAGTGTTGCCACTGACAGCTGGAGCATCTGGAAGCTGCAGGTGTGGCGGGCGGCTCCCCTCCCTCTGCCTGGGCCCCGTGAGGAGCGAGCAGGACCCAGCCGAGCTGAGCCCCCGCCCCGCCCCCCATCCTTGCTTTCCTTCTTAGGGCTATCGTGACGATGGAATAAGCTCATAGATCTAGAGCCCTTGGGACAGGGCCTGGCACATAGTAGGTGCTCAATGTGTTAATCGTGATCATGCTCATGATCAAGTATTTCTTGACAGCCTATCGCAAAGCTCGGCTCGGTTCTAGGTGCGAAACACACAGCCGAGAATGAGATAGAATCCTTGCCCTCATGCAGCTCCCCTTCTGTGTTCATCATACAGTCAGTGGGCTCGGCTTGGGGGGTGAGGCAGGATGTGCAGTCCTGGGACTGGGCGCAGCCTGGGGGCAGTCAGGGTGCAGAGGCCCCTGTAGCTGGGGGCTGATGTGACATCTGCCTATTGTAAAAGCAGTACCTGCTTCCGGGGTGGAGGTGGGCAGTTGGTGCTCAGAGAGCCTTGCTGGGAAGGTGGACTCTTACCGATCCACCGTTGAGCTTGGGCAAGCACCTTACTCCTCTTGAGCCTGCGCCCTCACCTGCAAGTTCAGTGCCCCACCTAATTCGCTCATGTGCCAGTGGGCAGGCGCATGTGTGGGCAGAGCAAATAAGCTTCTGCACCCCGTGGTGTGGAATTCTGGAATCTGTAACCATGCAAGTTAATTGCTGGGCACGCATTATGTGCTGACTTCCCAACACCTGTCCATCTGCAATCGGGGAAACTGAGATTCAGGGGGAGCTGCGGGGCTTCCATCCCTCAGGCAATCAAATGTTGGAGCTAGACTCAAATCCACGTGCTTAGCAGACTCTGGGTTATACTGTCAAGTGCTGTGAGGTATCTTCCTGGCTACTGTCTGATGTGTCTTTTGTCCCCAGAAAGCCATCTCTGTCCTGGAGATGGAGAATGGCTACTGGTGGTGCAGGAGGAAGAAGCAGCGGGCTGGTGTGAAGCTGACTGTTGGCACCAGGCCAGACGGCAGCCCCGACGAGCGCTGGTGCTTCAGGTGAGGGAAGGAGGCAGGGAGGCAGGGGAGGGTGGCCTGGGGGCCTTGCTCTCCCAGTGACCCCTGGAGGCTGCCGTGGGGCAGGCCAGCCTTACTCTTCTTTTTTTTTTTTTTTTTTAAAGATTTTATTTATTTACTTGACCAAGAGAAAGAGAGAGAGAACAAGCAGGGGGAGAGGGAGAAGCAGACTCCCCGCTGAGCAGGGAGCCCAATGCGGGACTCGATCCCAGGACCCTGGGATCATGATCTGAGCGGAAGGCAGATGCTTAATGACGGAGCCACCCAGGCGCCCCCCTTTTTTAAATTTTTATTTAAGTAATCTGTATACCCAATGTGGTGCTCAAACTCATGACCTGGAGATCAAGTCACATGCTCTTCTGAGTCAGTCAGGCGCCCCCCCAGCCTTACTCTTTTTTTTTTTTTTTCAGCTTTACTCTCTTTTTTTTTTTTTTTTTTTTAAAGATTTTATTTATTTATGAGAGAGAGAATGAGAGAGAGAGAGAGCATATGAGAGGGGGGAGGGTCAGAGGGAGAAGCAGACTCCCCGCCGAGCAGGGAGCCCGATGCGGGACTCGATCCGGGGACTCCAGGATCATGACCTGAGCCGAAGGCAGTGGCTTAACCAACTGAGCCACCCAGGTGCCCTCAGCTTTACTCTCTTAAAAGCTGCTAAGAGTCAGGTCTGGTGGGAGAGGCAGAGCCTAGGAGCACCAGGCACGCTGCCCCGGGTGGGGGAGGTCCAGGCCTGACACTCACTGCCTGTCCCCTCCCTGGTGGCCCCTGACCTACTCCTTCTGGCCTGAAATAGGGACAGTTAGGAGGCCAAGAAGCCAGACGGACCCTCAGGTTAAGCACACTAGCCTTGCCTGGCCGGTCTGCTCTGCCCTCCCCACTCCCCCAGCCTGACACAGAGGCGATGACCCTCCCACAGAAAACAAAGCTTCCACGGGAGAGACAACCTGATAACAAATGCACAGCCAGAAACACGCTGTCATGAGACAGCAGTTGAGCAAGGAGAGGGGAAGGGTCTTTGGCTTGTGCAGTAGCCACAGAAGGGCTCCGGAGCCCAGGAACATAAAGACACACCTGATCGAGACTCTTCTGTAGATGTTGAGGGCAAGCCAGGTCACTGTGCACGGCCTGAAGGGACAGATGCCTTTTCCTCCGCTGCAGACGTGGCCCAGGGGGCAGCAGGGTGATAGCCACAAGGACGGGGGGGCGGGATGGTGGGTGGCCCAGTGTCCAGTGAGAAGGGTGGTGAAAGCCCATCCTCCTCCCGGTCCCTGTGGCTACCCGTGTCTACGCGGGCCCCTCTCCGGGGGCAAAGCATGCTGCACAGAGTGTCTTCCCAGAGCCTCGGAGCTGCTCTGTTGCCCTCAGGGTGGAGGAAGTGAACTGGGCCTCGTGGGAGCAGACGCTGCCGACCGTGTGTGAGGAGCCATCAGAGCCGGCTGTCCCTGGTGAGTAGCGCGGTGGCCGGAGCCCCTGCCCTGGAGAGAGAGAGAGTGTGTGTCTGGGCCAGGACCCCTCCACGTCCAAGCACCTCTCGCCTCTCCACCCCCACCTCCTCACTGGCCTGTTTCAGACTGTCACCTGGGAGACACTGAGGCTGTGGCTGCTTCCCCCAGTCCAGCCATAAACCTGACCTCACCTCCCGCCCCCTGGGCTGTGCCTGGGGACCCAGCGGGGGTTAGAGAGGGCCCCTCACCTATCCCGCAGCTGCGGAGGCATCTCCCTGAGCCCCCACTGATAGGCCAGCCTTGCTGATCCCCAGCTTTCCCCGACTGCCGGAGCCCCCAGCCCCCACACCCCTGAGAAGTCACTTCCGATGCCTTTCCCCACTGTCGCGAGCTGCGTCCTGGCCATTCTAGTGTGGGGACTGCTTCTCCTGTCTCTCCCCTGCTGCCTTCCACCAATGGTCTTGGCTCCTTCCTCTCACCCAGAGGCCTGTTCCGAGGCTTAACTTTCTCCACAGCATGCCCTTTCTGGACTCTTCAGTAGCTCCCACTTCATCTGCAGTCGGCTCTCCTCTCCTTTCGCCTTCTTTTCCCAACAGACTCCACTTGCTTGTGCCTATGGCGCCGACCCCTCCCCATGACAGCCCCCGCATCACCTCTGACCCCTGTGTAGGGAGGCTCCTCCAGACTCTGGCCCCAAAGCCTGCTGGTCTCCCAGGCTCCTGGGTCCCTGACCATGGCCCTCACAAACCCATAGGTCGTCTGCCTGCCCTCTTTGTGTCTCCCTTCCCCTGAGTCCTGCCACCCCATCATTTCAGTGCCAAGACTCTGAAAGCCACCTTGCCCATCTTGCCCCAAGCATTCCACACCCCGGTCCCATACCCACTGCCTGCTGGGCCTTCCACCTGGACATCCCCAACAGGAATGGTTGTGGGGTTGCCCTACAGGTGGTGTGTGTGCAACCCCTCTCTCTCCTCACCCAGGCAGGAGGCCTTGAAGATCTCTGCTCAATGTCCCCCTCAGCCTGGTGCTGGGTATCTTCAGAACCTCCCAGGCGGCTACTTGCCCCTCTGTCCCCACCCCTCATTTTTCCCCCTTCTGCACACTGCAGGGCTCAGTCTGCACCCTCCTTTAGACAAGTCTTTCTGTTCCAGGCTTATCCCTCTAATGCAGACAAAAACTACATGAGGCCCATAACGGCAAGGCCTCACTCCTCAGGGTAGAGGCGAAGCTCCAGTGCTGCATGGAGTCCAACCCATTTCCCACACCTCCCTCCATGCAACAGCCAGTCCCTCCACAGTGTTCCCTGTTCTTTGCTTTCCTTGGCTCTCTGTGGAAGTGTCATTCCTGCTCCTCTGGGTGTCCAAATCTGCTGCCTTCCTTACAGGTTGGGTTCACGCTCTCCTCAGAGCTCCCTGAACACCTACTTGTCACTTCCTTCCAGCTCTTCAGCAAGTCTCAGGTGTTCTGGTTTCTAACCCAAGGGATGGTGAGCTCCTGGGAGGAGGCCCCCAACTGGCACCAAGTCAGGGGTTCAGGAAATGCCTGTGGAAGGGGGAGGTAGGGAGAGGCATTGCTGGGGACTCCAGGATTACCTGCGATACACAGAGTATGTGGTTTCATGGCTGTGGCCTCCTCCTGTTTGTCCTCCTGGGGACACAGCCCAAGGGCCAAGCCGCAGTGCTCTCCATCCTATTCACAGGCACCTTGAAGAATCCTGCCCCGGCTTCCCAACTAGAGGAAGGCAATGTCTCAGAGGAAGATCAACTGCCCCTCCAGCTCCTAAAGTCCCAATAACGGCCCAGATGCAGGACAGAGTCAGGGGATCTTCCCAGCCCTACGTGCTGGCTCTGGGGCTCCAGGAAACTTTGGTGGCAAATGTAAATAAATATTTTCTCATCACTAACTCTCCTGGAAACATTGTTTAAGCAAAGTTCGTGGGCTCTTGGGCTGGTTGATATCTGCGTGTCTCTTGGTGAGCATTTCTCTGTCTGGGGCTGGGCTACTCTCAGCCTCACTCAGGCACGGGAGACCCTTCCCTGCTGGCCCCCAGCCTGGGGGTGGTCCTTTTCTGGGATACTGTGCCCGCTGTCATGACAGATGTGTAGTGGTGGACACAGGCAACACAGCCACTGCTCCTCCCTCTCCCACAGCTTCCGGACACCCCTTAAAGCCACCTCCAAAATCTCTCTCAAAGCCTTTGAGCTCCCTGGCTTCCTTCAGGCTCTGGATTATTGGTTTCCTTCCCTTCTGGGCTGCCTGCTCGGTTCCTACCCTTCCGAGCTGTTCTGCAGGGCAGCCAGAGGGGCCTTCCTAAGGTGGAAGAGAAACATGTTACTCCTGCACCCTGAAGGCTTAAGAGGCTCCCCCAGTGCTCGCAGGATTCCCCAGATGGCATCCCCAGTCCTCCACGGTTTTAACCCCGAATTTCCAGACACCTCATCCCGGATACCCCTGCTGCCCCCCATGCTCTCCTTAGCACTTTTACCAAATTCTTCAGGCAGACTGATGAACCTGTGTAATCTGACCCCCTGACTTGGCTCTTGCTGGAAGCCCCCGCCCCACCATTTAAATCCTTCAAATTCTAAGACCGGAAAGTTGTCTCGCGGTAGCTTCTCCAGTTTTCTCCAGTCCAAATGAATTGCTCTCCCTTGGTGGAACGCGTGTTTATAAAATGCGTATGCACTGAATAGTTTTTAAGTGGCAGCGACCTGAGCTCGTGCAAAGGCTGAAAGGAAAGCATTTGCGGACAGGGAGAGGTTGCCATCGCCGGTGGGTTGGGGAACGGATGCAGGAGTCCTAAGGCATCAGGAGAAAAGGGGTGGAGAGGACGGAAGTGGTACCAGCTAAGACGTCTGCTCGCTCCTTAGGGGTCATCCTCAAGGGGGTGATGAGAGCTGTCAGCGCGCAGAGGTTCTGAAAGCCTCGGTGCATATTCGGAAATAGCCGTGGGGAGAGAGCGGACGGGCAGCAAGAAGAATTAGAGAGAAGCAGCTACTATTTTATGAATGCTTGCTGCCTGCCAAGGCTCTGCAGGGTTTCAAGTGTCGTATCTCACGCGATCCTCAGAACAACCTCTGCGGGGCCGGTAGCTTCATTTACCACACGAGCAATCGGAAGCTCACAAAGGCTGAGGAATCTGCCCCAAAACGTGCCGCTAAAGGGAGACCTCGGCCGCAACGCCCCTCCAGCCCCTGCGCATGCGCCCTGAAACACTCCGGGCGCCGCGGGACCCAGAATTCCCGGGGCCATGGAAGAGACCACCGGCTCCAACGGAGGGGGGTGTCCCGGGGTGATGCGGCGGAGTCTGCGTCGTCAAATGGGCCGGAAGTTCCCGTGAGTCTTTGCCAGTATTAACCTCCCTCCTGTGAGGAATGGAATGTTCCGGCTCCTTAAAGGGCCGGGCCGCCGCTGAAGCGACCTTTCTATTATCGTGATAATGGAGGTGAGTGGTGTGTGTAGTTGGGCCTAATAGCTGGCGGCAAGGGCGAAGGAGCTAAAGGCTTCTTAACTCCTGGGAAGAAGTTTTCGGGCAGCTTCCGTGGGGGGCGCACGGCGGCTCCCTAAAGCGCGTGTCCGGGCTTCGGGGCGGGCGCCGCCGTGGGGGAGAGTCGCGCAGGGCCGCCGGGGGCCGAGGCTCAAGGCCCGCGCGCGTGTCTGTCCGGCAGGGCCGCCGCTGTCGTCTCAGGAGCCTGGGTTCCCCGGAGGCCGGGGCCCCGCTCCCCGGACCCGGCGTGGGAGGTGCGCCACCCCCGGAGGACCGGGTGAGTGCGGCCCGGGGGGAGGTCGGGCATGGGACCGCGAGGAGGGCGTGCCCGACTGTGCTGATGATGCTGGGATTGGGAAGTGCGGTCAGAAGCGATAACTGACGACTTTGTCGCCGAAGCCTCAACGGTCTGGTTGAACCTCGCTGCCGCAGCCTGCCCTTAACGCGTGTCGCCCTCCACGTTCCAGGTGGCAGATCCCTTGCAGCGCCTTCAAGCCGGGAGCGGCCTCCCACCCTGAGGTAGGACCCAGCCTGGGCAGGGTTTGTAACACCTAACTTTGTTTTTCAGTCTTTGTTAGTAAATGCACGGGAGTCGGCTGCTACTTTACAGTTTTATGCATTGGGCAGCGCATAAAATCGCGTACACAGCATGGAGCCTCGAGTGGAAATTGGAGGCGGCTACTCCTAAGCTGCAACTATTTCAGCCGCAGCTATAGCCGGAGATAAAGTCCCAGTTAAAATGCAGCGTCCTGGTTGGTTCCCAAGCAATTGCGACTTAATCCCAGGTCCCGTTGCAGGTTTCTGGAGCAGTACTGGGGAGCGGGGAGGTGTTGACTGCTCTGATGAAATCACTTATAGGAAGTGCCGTCAGAAGCGATAACTGACGATAACTGTTCCTGGCTGACTGCAGTCAACAAGGCCTCCCCAGCTGCCGCCGCCCTGGAGTAGGTTGGTTTGAACAGTGACCTTTTCTCGTCTATTCACCCAGGTTGCAGAAGAGTGTGGGGTCGGCAGTGTGTGATGAGATCAGCAGCAGAGCGTTCCGGGGGTGAGCACTGGCCTGCCTTGAGGTAAGCTTGATGGGTGGGACAGACTGCATGGCTGTTGTAAAGTTGTACAGAGATGATGTAAAGTTCCGGGTAGGTCGGGTAGGGGCACTTTGATCTGGTTAACCTACTAACTTGCATCAGTGTAGCCCTTGACCTTTATCGACAGTATCCCAGAGACACTTACTATGGTTCATGGTGGCAGCGGAGCGGAGGGCAGAGGAAACCCGGGAGTTCCTTGTTACCCCACTGCTGTAAAATCCTGAGATGTAACTTGCCTCATCCCTGAAGATGACAGCTTTAGGTGTGTGATGTTTAAAACGATGGGATGAGGGCGCCTGGGTGGCTCAGTTGGTTAAGCGACTGCCTTCAGCTCAGGTCATGATCCTGGAGTCCCGGGATCGAGTCCTGCATCGGGCTCCCTGCTCAGCAGGGAGTCTGTTTCTCCCTCTGACCCTCCCCCCTCTCATGTGCTCGCTCTCTCTCATTCTCTCTGTCTCAAATAAATAAAATCTTTAAAATAAATAAATAAATAAAATCTTTAAAAAAAAAAAAAACAAAAAACGATGGGATGAAATGAGGTTGCAACACCTAGAGAAGCCAGTTAGGACGTGTGGACTTAACATGGCTTCATTTACAAAAAAACACCTCCAGTAGGTTCTTGAGGGCTCCTGAGATGAACTGGAATTTGTATTTGAGGCTATCATGATCAAAACTGCTATCTTTTCTGCCTCCTCCTCTGCTGCCTATCTAGGGGTGCCTTAATTCGTTCCCCCAGGTTTTGTGTGCTGAGGTGCTCAAGAATGGTGGTCTGCGGTGTGGAGTTTTAAAGCTGGAGGCGGCAGCCCTTTAGCCTCAGAAGAGGTAAGCTTCCATCGACAAGGACCCCTCCCCCCATGGTGGAATGAATAAGCGGCTAGTATCGTTAAAATTGATTTTCAGGAAAAGGATATCAAATGATGAAATCACCCAAAATAGCTGGAATTACCGGCAGATTGTGTAGTGGTGAACGTATGGTTTTCTGAAGATAACCTTTTTATGCTGTGAATAGCTGTTGGGTGGAGTAGAAAGTGAGACTGATACTTAGTTTCTTTGCAGGCTGTTTTCCCAGAGAACGGTCAGCCATGCTGCAGCAGGGGAAGAACTTGAAGTTTCAAGGACCAGTGGTCACCATACCATCAGTTTGGACTGAAACCCTAGGCTTCCACAGTTGGTGTGGAAACAATGCTTAACTTGTGCTGAGATTCAGAGGCCATTCTCTTACCAACAGAGCCAACAAATGTGTTTGGCAAACTTGCTAGGGTATTACGCTAGGATAGGCACTGTTGGAGTCCTTGAATTCATGAGCTTTCTAGTAATGTATTATAAATACTATATTTTTAGCTCCCCTGCCCAAAGAGAGCTTCTATACCTGTAAATTTTGTATAAATTTGTCAGGTGAGGGTCTGAGTTCTTTAAGCTGCAAATGTATTTCTTCCTGAAACATATTTCTGTGCAATTACCACAAACTGCAATAAAGGATGGTCTTTAGTCCTGGTTTTTAAAAATGTGTATTTGAAGAAAAAAATTTGGTCACTGCTGTCAAATGAGCAGTCCAGGTGTTAGCACTTGTCAGCTTCTCCATGGTCAGTCTAAGCTGTTTCCCCTCTGTAACAACTTTAGACTCGAGGGTAAAAGTTCCAAAGCATTTAAGGCATCCACACCTTTGATTCCAGTCTGCCTTTGGGCTGTGTCCTTGTGCATAGCCTACCTCCGGAAGCTCTGTACTACGCTCAGCCAAGCACCTGGACAGTGGCAGGCAGGGTCCCCATAGTGTGGCTCTTCACCCAGCCCGTCTTGGTGCCTTGCTGAGTTGGGCTCTCACCTACTGGTCAGTGGGCTAGAGGCTGGACAGGCCATGCTTCCCAGCTGTCTGCCGTTTGCCTGAGTGGTCTGGTCACCACTGTGGGCATCTAAATTTTCTTAGGTAAAAGAAAGGTTGGTCTCCAGTCTTCCTGGACCGGAAGCCTTTGTCTTGGTTCTAGGGCTTATTGTGCCTAGAAGGGATTTTCAGCTGGTAGGTCTTGAGTAGGGGGAAGAGAGGGTGAAAACCATTGTTCACACACTCCTTGGGAACCTCTAGTTTCTCCCTGTCTCCTAGCTGTCTTGCTGGGTGGTACTAGATCTGCTAAGAGTTGCAAGTCTAACCTCATTTTCATGGTCTCGGGTTGTTTAGGAGCCTTCCATGATAGGTTTTTGGGAGTGAGCCTGGTTACCCTTGATGACTTCTTTGGGGACTCCACCAGAAACTGAGAAAAAGGTCTTTAAAATCCTTTGAAGGGAAGTACTCTGACTTGGAACAATGCAGCCCTACCAAAGGTCTGGTAGTCTTAGCCTGGGTCAGGGGGATGGTGGGGGGTTTCTGGGTGCATGCCGTGTATGTGGGCATCTAGGACACTTGAAGGGTAGAGGGTGGCTGGTCCCCAGGGCAGGGCCTGGAATCCCCGGTGGAAGTGTGGGCCTAAATGGAGGCTGCTGCGACTGGGAAGTGGTTCCTCGGACCCCCCAGGGCTTCACAGGGAGGAGAGGTAGACCACTTTCTAAGATGGGGACTAGGCTCTGGGAGTCTCTGGGGAGCTGGTCAGTGCCTCTACCCCAACCTCCTTCAGCCAGGTGTTAGGGTAGAAAAAAAGGATTCTATCAGGAAATACTGGGTTAGGTGTAGGGCCGAAACTACACTCCATTCCTGGGATAAGTTCTTACCCACATGAGCTCAAGCTTTCATCTCTATAAACAGACCACCCACAAATCTGGGGAGGCTGAGGGCTACTGCCCCTCAAGCCACGTAGGATTTCTCAGGACCCAAAAGGCAGATGAGATTGACAAGAGGGGGAAGTGGAAAGGACTGAAGGGAAGAATTACACAGCCCCCCTCCCAGTTGCTACAGTCTGGCTCCAGTGAGTGGGGCTGCCCAGGCCAATTTTGGGTGATCGCCTGAGGCCCCCAGTGGGGGCCCCCTCGCCTGCCTCAGTCCTCCTACCCCACCGGGACTCCCTGGTGAGGACCCCCACTTCTGTGTCATGTCTGAACTGCACCTACAGTCTCCCTGCCCTCATGGTCTTTGGCAGGATCCAGAGGGCCTCCCCCAGGGTCATCCTGGCCCACTGTGCCATCGCGGGCCTCCTCCCCACTGCCCGGGCCCTCGCCCAGCTCCAGGATGGTGGGTAGATGGCCCTGCTTCGGGGAGCGCTTGCGCAGGCTGAGCAGGAAGGGCTGGGGCAATGAAAAGATGTCCACATTGTTGCCCAGGTCGATCCACGTGACGTTGGGGAACTTGCTGGGGTCCTTGAGGGTGTCGGTGAGGTCACGCAGCAGGGCCCGCGTCAGCCGGTTGCCGTTGAGTGCTAGCGTGGTGAGGCGGGGCAGTGTGCTGAGCACGGGCAGCAACTGCAGGACCATGTCATCCGTGAGGCCCGTGAAGCCCAGCTCCACGCTATCCACCTGCTCCCCGCAGCGCTGCAGGTAGCTGGTCACCCGCTCCAGGTCCCGGGAGGTCAGCGGGATGCCTGACAGGTCCACGGTGTTGTCCGGAGGGCTCCCAGCCAGGAGAGCTTTGAGGCTGCGGGGGAGAAGCGACAAGCCAGGTTCAAGCAAGTGGGGCCGGCCTTCTGGACGCAGCAGTGGCCAGCACTGAACTCTGCTCTGCGGCTCCAGGGATGGGAGAAACCAAAGATCTCTGGTCCCCGGCACCACCTCGCATCTCAGCCTGGCTGGGCCCAGCTGCCCAGAGCTTGAGGGACCACGGGGGAAAGACCCAGAGGTTTCTGCAGTGACTAAGGGTACATTCTAGGGCCGTAGTGCCTGGGTTTGCATCTTAACTCTTCTTCCTACTCGCGTGAGCTCTAATCAGTTCCCTGACTTCTCTGTGCCTCACTTACTTACCTGAACAAGGGAGCTAATTGAGTACCGCAGAATTGTTAACAAGAGATAATGGATGCAGAGCATTTAGAACAGTGCCTTGTGTACGCGAGAATGATGAATGAATATTTGCTGATGACAGTATGAATCATCTAGACTGAGCTTCCTGCTTCCCCAAGAGCAGCACAAAGTCTCTTGAGGCCTGTGTTCCAAGACAGTCTTGCCCACCAGATGGGCAATCCTTAGGGAGAGCCCTTAGGGGAGGGTGCAGGGGCTCTGAGCCTGGGGGGGGCGGTAGCTGCTGACTCCTGGAGGCTCAGGGCTCTGCACCCCCTTCCACTCCCTGCCATCTGGTACTCCTTGCTCTTCTTCCTGGTCCATGCTCTGCGGCCAGAGCTGCCCATTTCCAGGTACCCCAGACAAGCCCTGGGGTCCTAACGGTGGGAGAGAGGAAGGTAGAGGGGGCTCACAGCCTGTTTCAAGAACACAGGTTAACGTTAGCAGCCCAAGGATCACGCCTTGGACTTCCTCTTGGCAAAACAACGTTAAGTCTCTATCCTCGAGATCTGAAGCTGGAAGGCTGCTTACAGCTTCCTCCTCTTGCCTCTCAGAGCGTGACCTCTAAGTGCTTGAAACATTGCGGGGCATTTGTTCAGGGTGACCGAAGGACTGGCTGTGGTCAGTGTCACTAATAAAGCAGACCCATTACACCTGGGAGATAGGTAGCGTGTGGTTAACGACCTGAGCCTGGGGTTTGAATTCAGCCCTGCCCCTTAGCAGCTGGGTGATCGTGGCCAGTCAAATGGCGACAGTAATAGCCCCTACCTCATTCACTCCTTCAGCAGGGGTTTTAAGCTCCCGCTGTGTGTCAGGCACTGTCCTAGGCACTGACTAGTGTGATGGGAAGCCTCCCGAGGGGAGTGAGGCTTTTGAAATGAAGAATGGACGAAGCCTGCAGGAGTGCTGGGGAGACTGAAGAGGAGGCTCCTGGATTCCAGCAGAGCTCACGTTTCTAGCTTTTCAACCCTAAAGAACTAGGTCACAGACTCCTCGTGGCATTCCAGGTCCCACGGGTCCTCCCGCTCTGCTCTGTCCCCATGTACAGCTCCTGACTTCAGCCCAGTTAGAGCCCCATCCTTGACTCACTCTCTTCCTTCACCTGGGGATGCATTCCAGGATCCAGCTCCTCTCCTGGTTTCGGGGTGGAAGAGTCCAGAAGGGAAAGAGGAACCAGAGCTCTTGTCAGTGAGGGAGGGCAGTCCTGTCCCTACCCAGTCTAGGGGAAGGACACCAGCCATTCTGCCCCATGGTCATGTACAAGAAAAGCAGGGGTGCTCCCTCCAGAAAGCCTAACGTCCTAGGCTCCCCTTTACTTGCTTCCAACGGTGCTAGCTGTCTCCGCCCACAGGTTCTGTGTCCCATGTGCCCCCAAACCCCCAATCTTCTTCAGGGGGCCATAAAAACCCTTGAGGCTTCTCACTGCTGCGTGGCCCAGGGGCATGGCTGGGGTCTGGGTCAACCTAGGAGATATCCAGGAGAAATAGGGGATCCAGTGGGAGTGCCCACATTTGGCACACCAGGAATTAGAAGGCCTCATGTCTTCCTCCCCACCCACCCCTTCTGAATGGGCCCAGACTCCCCGGTTCCCAACCCACAGACCAGGGAGGGCCCCACCGGCAGCTCCCCTCATGGCTCATGCCCACCCGGAATGCCCTCCTGGCTCCTCTCTCCACCCAACCCCGAACTCTCCTTCAATCTCATCTCCTTCAGGCACCTTCCAAGGCAACCCCCCTGGCTCTAGCTCCTCCATTCACCCCTGGGAGGGAGTGCTGTGTAGCCCAGCCTGGCATGGATTCGCTCTGGGCTGCCCTTCTAGAAGGAGGCCGGGCGGGGGCAGGGAAGATCCGGCTCAGGTGACTGAGACTCACCAGGCCTGTGGCTTCCTCTTCACCAGCCCCCGGTGCCGCCTCCACTGGGAGTGGGGGCTCAGGTGGTAGGTCAGCTGCCGGCATAGCTTCTCCATGGCGCCCAGCGCATCGCCTTCCTGCAGAGACAACCACAGGCAGGAGGCCCCTGAGTCACTGGAACGGGCCGGGGAGACCAGGCGCTCCCCTCCAGCTTCCTGTCTCCATGGGATGAGCATGGCACCCCCAGGCTGAGCTGGGGGACGTTTGCTCTGCTGGCTCCCGCTGGGCCCCCTTAGCAGAAAGCAGTTGCTTGCAAATTGATCTGCACAATGGCTCTCCCTGGTTTCTGCGAATTAGTTGCTATCGTGGCAAAATTGAGATTGATCTAAAACTCTACATTCACAATCTGACAGTTGACCAGAGCTGAGTGCTGGCTGATCCCTGATCCAATATTCATCATGGTCCCTGCCTCTCCCCAGTGGCCAGGGCCGTTCTGCTCACTCGTTTGCTCAACAAAGGTTTACTGAGCACCTACTAGGTGCCAGGCAATTGTTCTAGGCAAGAAGAAGAAAGGGAAATATTTTTATGATGTCACAAGTGGGAAAATAAACAAGTGAGGAGTCCAGGTCTTTTCCAGCACAGTTCATTCATCTACTGTAATCTGTCTGGCCCATCAGCATTTTTTTCAATTTATTTTTTAAAATATTTTATTCATTTATTTGAGAGAAAGAGCGTGTGAGCGAGAGAGCAGCAGAGGGAGAGGGAGAAGCAGACTCCCCACTGAGTCGGGAGCCCGATATGGGGCTCGATCCCAGGACCCTGAGATCATGACCTGAGCTGAAGGCAGCCGTTTAACCAACTGAGCCACCCAGGCGCCCCAACATTTTTTTTTTTTTAATAAGCTCTACACCCGATGTGGGGCTTGAACTCATGACTCCGAGAACAAGAGTCGCATGCTCTACCGACTGAGCCAGGCGCTGCAGGCCCGTCAGCTTTTGCGTTTGAAACCCTGGGCATTATGTCCTCAATTGTGTCCCACCCAAGTTCTTAAATTTAAGTCCTCAACCCAGGTATCTCGGACTGTGACTATATGTGGAAATAGGGCCTCTAGAGAGCAATTCAGTTAAAATGAGGTCATTTGGGGTGGGCCCCAATCCAAAATGACTGGTGTCCTCATGAAAAGAGATTAGGTCACAGACACGCATAGAGGAAAGACCATGTGAGGACCCTGGAGAAGCCAAGGAGAGGACTCAAAAGCAACCAACCCTGCCAACACCTTGATCTTGGACCTCCAGCCTTCACAGCTATGAGAAAATAAATTTCTGTTGTTTAAGTGGTATTTTGTTATGGAGGCCCTGACAAACTTACGTTGGGTTAATGTGTGCAGCAGAGAGATGCTAGAGACTCCATCTCCATCCCAAGGGAAGTCAACTCAATAGACAGTCACCAAGCCCTGGGGGAGGGGGGTGCCAAGAGCGTGTGAAGTTCAACCACAAGCTCACGTCCAGTGCCTGGCACACAGTGAGCACTCAATAAAGGTCAGCTTGACGGTTGTTACCATCATCACTCTGCTAATGGAGACTCAGCATATTAAGTACTTAAGAGCAGGGACTCGGAGACAAACCATGTGGATATGAACCCTTGCTTTGCTACCTCCTCTGTGACCTTGGGCAAGTCACTTGACCTTCAATCCTCCTCCGTGAAGGGATAACAGAACCCAACTCACGGGGCATTTTGTGAGAATGCAATGAGTCACTATTTGCAGAGGCCTGTGACTGTCGCTCAGCTCACAGCAAGCTCTGCAGGAATGCTCACTACCTCAGTAACTAGAAGAGCAACAAAGACATGCAAAACTCTGGCAGGGTAAAGGGGATGACTCCTCCCCGCAAGGCTCACCTGTGAGTTGGGGTTTTCAGGGCGGATGGGTTCGTGATTTTTGCATGGAGAGAAGAAACAAGAGGCATCCCCGAGTGAGGAGGAAATGTGTGCAAAGGTTTGGGTGTTGGGGGTGTTACAGGAGCAGGGGACAATCTGGGGTCTGGTCACTTCTCGCCACCTCCACGGCTACCACGTTGGTCCAAGCCACTGTCATCTGTCACCTGGATTGCTGCACACGGACCTTACGCTAGGACTTCATGGAATTCCCACAACACCCCAGAGCTGAACTGCTTTCATTAGCCCCATTTTACAGAGGAGGAAACTGAGGCATAGAGAGCAGGGCTGGAGCTGTTGGCAAGGCAAGAGAAGAAGACCCTGAGGACGGGAGACGAGAGGGAGAAGAGGTAGGAAAAGGGGGTGTTGAGGATCCGAAGAGGTGAAGCATCTGAGCAGGGATCCAGGGGACAGAGGCTCAAGACGGAATAGAATCGGTGTAGAGAGCACCTCTGGTCTCTGGTTCTCCCAGGACCTCACTTCCTCCTGCCCTGGCCTGCCTGTCTGATAAATGTCACCTGTCGCTTCAGGCGATTACACTCGCATTCCCTGGGTTGCCATGTTCTGATTCTAGAGCTTAGTTTCTTGCTGAGCCTCCTCGTACGGGTGTGTGAGATGGGAAGCAGGAAAAGCAGACAAGGGCTCAATGGAGGAAGAAGAGCAGGATCACGTTTGCATTTTGGGACTGTCCCTCCGACAGAGAGTGGTTCAGGGCCAGTCCCATCTGCTTTGTGTGGTTTGGGGCACCCCTGCCAGGCCTGCAGAAAGCCCCGAAAGTGATGGGGGCCCGCACACTGGACTGACAGTGCGCGGGATGGAGAGGGTGTGGGCAGGGCGGGGATAAGGAAGGATCCAGGCTTTGGGCTTGGGACCTGGGTAGAAGGCGAGGGGCTTCGGGAGAGAAGGGGATGAAAAGGCAGGACGGGAATGCGCGGCTCACTTGGAACCACGTAGAGTTTGAGGGGCCTAGGGACCCCTCCCGGGAGATGCAATTGGATTTATGAGGCTGGGGCTCAAGACACATTCACCAGCCTCTGATCTACCCTCTGGCCGTGGAATGAGCTGACGGGGAAAGGGGAGGACACACCGGACCTGAAGGGATGGACAAGGCACGTGTAGCCAAGGGCACCAAGGAGAAGAAGGGCTGGTGGGACTCCAGTGAGGAGGCCTTGGCCAGAAGAGGCTCAGGGAGGGGCGGTCATGGGGGGGCCCGGTGAAGGCCAACTCTGGAGGCCAAAGGGAGGATGGGAGGTAACAGCAGAGATGGCGCATTGAGAGCTTCTTCACTTGGGGCCCTTGCACCCTGGAATCACCAAGGAGCTTTTAAAAACCCTGCCTGGGCCACCCCCAGCATGGGTGGGCATCTTGCACGCAGGGATTTTTTTTTTTAAAGGCTCTACGGATGATTCCTGTGGCGCCAAGTTGGAGAAACACCAGTTCAAAAGCTTGAGAGACAAGAAGGCCCGAGGGAGGGAGAGGTGGGACTGGGTGGTCGGCCCAGTTTCACTCCTGGGACCACCCCGGGGCCAGAACATCGCCACTCTCCCACGGCACCTGCTCCAACTCAGCTTCGGCTGCTCGTTCAGCCACTTCCGGGGGGCGGCGGGCGTGGGGGCGGGGGTGTCATCCTCTGGGCCTGGGCTGTGAAGAGAGAAACAAAGAGAGGAAAAGGCGGCAAAGCAGCCGCCGCAGTGCGCCGGCACTGCCACAAGGGGGCAGCTGTGTGCAGGGCGCCGCAATGGGTTGACCGCTCACGGCCGTTCCCCGCCTGGGAGACTGAGCAAGCCTGTTTCCTCACCAACAAGGACAACAGATACGGTCACCTCACGGGCGATTTGAGACGCAACGTGAGCTCGTGTCCTCACAGAAGTGAGAGCTCCCTTCTGTTCGTCTGGGCTACGTGAACAACAGCTACCGTTTACTGCGCCTCTGCTCTGTTAGGCGTCGCCCCTGCGCTTCCTGCACGAGCTCTTCACAATCCCGTAACTCGCAACGATCCTATGAAACGGGCGCTACCATTACCCCCACTTTACAAATGAGGGAACCGAGGCACAAAGAAGCTGACTACACTGGCAAGCCCCACAGCTTGTGAGATGGAATCAGGACGCAAAAGCCCGGCTCCGAGGCTGGCATCCTTCCCAACCTGCCATCCCGCCCTGCGCTGCCCTCCCGGGGATAAATCTTTGGCCTAGGTGGGTTCGAGGGGTTTCTATCATTTGCAAGCCCATCGAATCCCCCCCCGACACCCCCGCAACTCCGTGGAGTTTTCGAAGCCCCCTCCAGGTCTCCCTCCCACGGAGAAGAGGACAAAGCAGGACTGGCTCAGAGCTGGAGAAGGGGGGCGGGGAGGCAGGGGCTGGAAGGGGAGGGAGGCTCAAAGTGGTGAGGCCCAGCAGCCCCTTTGTGCAACCAGACCCCATGCCAAGCTGCAGCTGATTGGTCCAGAAGCGGGTACTGGCAGAACGCAGCCAACCAGCCCTTTCCTGGCGACGACACACACCCCCGTCCGCTCCCAGGGCTGGACGCCGCCCCGAGTAGACTCAGAGCCCCGAGAATGGAGAGGGAGGTCCGGGGGAGCCGAGAGGAGGGATGGAGAGATGCCTGCCCTGCGTTTCTTCTGTCCTTGTGGCCCCTCCTTCCAAGCTTGGCTGCCTTTGGGCCCCATGGGGCCCCTGGGTATCAGGATAAATTCTCTTCCTAGCTTGACGCGCAACAGAACCCTCACCCACACCCGAGGCTCAAAGGCGGTTTGTGGAATCAATTCTGCCGCTCTTCCTGCCACCCATGGAAAAGGAAGAAGGAAGGAGAGGGGCATGATGCAAGTCTGGGGTGGTTGGGCATCACAGGGTGGAGCGAGGGGCCCGCAGCACTGGGCACCCCCCCCCCCCGCCGGCCCCGCCTCTGCCCAGGGCCCTGGAGAGGACCCTGAGGGACTCTCACTGACTTATCAGGAAAGATGTTCAAGGCAGACTGCAGTCCCACAAGCACCCGGACCCTGCTCCACCTCTCACCTGTCAGATGGTGACTCCCACCTGCCATCTTGGCTTCCCCAGGCCCCTTTGTACGCTTCCCCCAGACCCCAAACAAGCACAGCCCGCCACTACTGGGAGCCCAAAGGCTTCCCTCACTCATTCATAAATTCATTCATCAGATATTGACTGTCCTTCCTCCTACAAGCTGGATGCTCCTCCAGATATGGGGAGACTTGCTGGGCTTTGCCTTTACTCCCTACCCTGAGTCCATTCTCTGCTCTTCTCGGTGCCTGGAAGGCTGAACTCTATAGACAGCACCGCCGGCCCTCCTGCCCCGGCTTCCAGTTGGGCTCAGCTAATGAGAGTGATTGGAGTGAGATCCGAGGGCAGGAGGAAAGATCCTTCCCATTCTCACCCTCTCGGCTTTAGCCTGTGGTGTGGCAGCCAGCCTCCGAGACGGCCCCCACGGATCCTGGCCTCCTGTCATTGCTCCCTCCCGTAGTCTGCTGCACTGCATCAGGGTTGATCTGGGTGATGCATAGAATGTGGCGAGGTCATAAAAGACACTGTGGTGTCTGCCTGCCTCTTTTCTTGGATCACCTGCTCTGGGATAAGCCAGCTACCCATCGTGGGAAAAGCTCAAGCGGTCCTATGGAGAGACCCACATGGCAAGAAACTGGGGCCTCCTGTCAGCAGCCAAGGAATGGGCCAGCCCGGAAGGGGGCCTGCCACTCTCTGCCAAGCCTGTAGATCCCTGTAGCCCTGGCCACTGTCTTGAGGGACCCTAAGCTAGAACTACCTAGTCACGCTACAGAGACTGCACAGGGATAAATGTCGACTGTTTTAAGCCACCGAGTTCTGGGGTCATTTGCTACACACAATAAAAAATACAGCACGATTCTGGAAAAGGTGTTCTCGGCTCTGGTCACGGCTCCGGTCATGGCTTGTACCCATGGCCTCTTTCTGATAACAGCTTCCTACTGCTGCTAGTTTTTGGGGTGTCTCAGTATCCCCCGTTGGCTTCCTTCCCCCTGCCCACAACCCTGGAAATAGTCCCATTATTAAACTCCTGAAAATTCACAATGGAATGTGCTGGCCCGCTTCCCGCCAGGGCCCTGCCTGATGCAAGATGTAACTACGAGCAACACAGATGTCATCTCCTGTCCCTTTGGCAATACTGCTGTTCGCCTGGGGGAAGGCAGACAATATGCCAGCTGACAAATAAATAAGCCAGATGACTTGGGAGACCAGTGAGTGAAATGAAGCCGTCAACAGGGCGCGGGCTGATGGGGGGGAGCTATGTCAATGAGGCTGGTCACAGAAGGTTCTGGAGAGGCGACCGTGAGGCTGAGCCTGAATGGAGGAGCCGGGGAGCCCAGGCAGAGGTGGCAGCAAGGTCCCTGGAGGTAGGAGAGGACCTGGATGCTCCAGGAACCGAGAGGAGGCCCACGGGGCCAGAGCCGAGTGAGCAGAGCGGAGAGGATGAGACAGGAGATTCAGGCGGGGCCACGAACGGGGTTTGGGTTTTAGTGAAAGTACGACACCACCCCACGTGGAAGGCTTCTCAGTGAGGTACTTAGGTGATCCAATTTCCCTTGCAGATTGCTCCCTGGCTGCTCCCGGAGCAGAGGGCCGGGAGGCATGGTGGGAAGTGCGGGGCTGGCGCTGGGGCCCAGGGAAGGAAGGGGTCTCTGAACTTTCCTGCTACATGATCTGTGCTGATGGTGGGATGAGTTTTGGGTGGGGGAGGGGTGGCGAATCAGGGACACCCAGGCAGAGATGTCCAAGAGGTGGGTGACTTTTGAGCTGGAAGCTGGGCTGTGGATGGATCACACACAGTCATGGGAGGGATGGGGTTTTGCCTGTCCCCTCCTTCTCGGGGCACACACAGACCCACCGCCTTCTAGGGCCTAGGCCCATGTCCAGCTGGGACACAGGAGGGGACTTTGGGTAGGCTGGGACTCATTTGAGGGGGTCATCTTGCTGGTGGAGTTATTGGTCCGGTGGATGCTTCACCGAGATTGGACGAGGAAGGGCTATTTCCTTTGTCTCATGTCTCCACTGAGGGCGATGGCCCCTCATGGCTGATGGTCTTGACATCTCTGATCTGAAGTTCTCAGATGAAAGAGCTAAGAACAGGAAGTCCTGGCCAGCCCCAAGCCAGCTCAGGTTTTAGGGATGGTGCAATCAGGGGCTGTCCTTATTCCCAGCTCCGGGGCCCCAGAACCAGGACCTCCCACCCTGGCCTCAACCACAACCAGGACAGTCCTTCCAAAGGGCCTCCCCTGCCTCATGGCCTTGGGTATGGCTAAGGGGAACCAGCCAGGCCCCGAGGCCTCCGACAGGGCTGACACCCCTGGCTGGCTCTGGAAATCGGGAAATCAGAGGCCGGCCCCTCGTTCTCCAAGACTCTGAGCCCACTCCCTGCCTCAGTGTCCCACCACGGACCTGCTGGGTCTGAGCAACCTGCTTGGCCCACGGTGGGTGCTCACTGACTAGGTACAGCTTAGCGTCTGTGTATAGGGTGCTCAGCTGTGCCAGGAACATTCTCCTGAATCAGTTCACTGAACTCTCCAAAGGGCTCTCCAGGAGAGGGTATTGTCATTCGCCTTTGGAGTTGAGGAAAACACAGTTCAGCTAATGAAGAGGCCTGAGAAAGCTACACCCAGGCAGGGGGCCCAATGTTTGTGTCCCCCACCCCCCAACTCATAGGTTGAACCCCATCTCAGGGTGATGGTGTCTGGAGGTGGGGCATTTAGGGGGGAAAGTAGGATTAGATGAGGTCATGAGGGTTATAAGAAGAAGCCAGAGAGTTAGCTGGCTTGCTTTCTACCATCGTGAGGCCACAACGAGAAGGTAGCCATCTGCAAACTGGGAAGAGGGCTCTCGTCAGAACTGGACCTTACTGGCTGGCACCCTGATCTTGGACTTCCAGCTTCCAGAACTGTGAGCAACACAATTCTGTTGCTTCTAAGCCACCCAGTCAGGGGTAACGTGTGGCAGCAGCCTGAGCTCAGACCCCCCAGGTACGGCCCCTGTAGTCTCCACCCAGACGGGAGGGGATGGATCTCAGCCCAGAACCCCTTGGGCCACCTGTCCTTCCCGTGTCCTGTGGTTTGGCATGGGCAGTTACCCACTTGCAGGCCCTTCCTATGTGGAGGGAGGCAGGCCGCCCTCCTCCTCCAGCCCAGATGCAGCCCCACAAGCCCCACCCCCGCCAAGAGCACTGGGAGCACAGGGGTCCAGCGCCCGAGCACCAGCCTGCACTCTGCCCGGAACTGGGCCCCAAATCACACCTGCGGTGTACCCATTAGCAGATTGCTTCATTACCTGACTTTGGTCTTCCTCAACTCTAAAATGGGCATAAAAATAACATCTCTCCAATTGAGCTGCTTCGAGTGCCCTGCGATCTGTCACCCGGTCACCCGTGGGCATGTGAATTCATGTTCCAGAAAAGGCAGAGAGGTCTGGCACCTGCTAGGCCTCGGACAGACCCTGCTCGCAGCTTCCCCGGGCTGAGCCAGATAGAATCGGAATGAGAAGTGAAGGTGATTCCAGGCCCAGCTGGTTTCCTGGCGGCTCCTGGCACCAGCCCCTCTTCCCCAGGCTTTGAGGCTCCCAGTCTGCCAACCCTCATTACCCGCTTTTTCTTACCATCCCATATTTGAGCCCCACATCCCTGCCTTCTGCTGCATCCCACCACCAGCCCCAACCCACCCCCACACCTGCCCCAGACTGGCTCCCAGCCCTTCAGAGCTCGCTCCTCACCTCAGAGTCTTGGCCCCAGACAGCCCCAGGGCCAGAGAGAAGGCCCTAGACAAAGGCCCGGATGGAGGCTCAGCTCCAGAGCAATGTTGTAGTGTCTGGCCAAGGGAAGGGTGGGGTTGACCACCACCTCCTCCCTCTTATCCTCAATCCTACTCTGGAAGCAGAAGCTTCCCTCAGGCAGTCCTGGGTCCTGCTCTGGCTTCCTGGAAGCCTTTCTTTTGGAAGCTGCTGGAAATTGAGGATGGGAGAGAAACATTCCAGAGTGGAGCTGCCCTGTCCCTCACTGGCCCTCCCCTTCCCTGCCGGGGTCACGATGGGCAGCTCTGGCTAAGCTGGCCCGGCACCCCGCGAGGAAGAGGGGCAGGCCCTTCCATCCAGAAGCTGGCTAAGCAGCACCTGCCCGCGGAGCTTTTCCTTCTCTGCTCTGGAAGCCAGGCAGATGTGGGCATGAGCAAAGCGTAAAATGACATTCAGCCTCAGAGAGGAAGGCCATTGGGAGTGCTGGGGACTGAGGCATCCTGGAGAGCACCAAGCAGGGTCACTGCTGGATTTACATGGCACCTTTGTGCAAATAAGAAAAAGTCCACCTCTGGATGGACACAGCCTTGCGCCGGTGCCTGTAACTTGGTGGCAGAGAGAGGGCTGGATCGGACCTGTCTCCTGCCACCTCGGCGTCTGCCTGTCTTTGTGCAGGGTGCAAGACACACAACTGTACATCGCGGTCCTGGCCCCGCATCACGGGGGTGGTTACTCAGCTCCAGTGCTATAGAAATGGGGGATGCATGCTGCTGGAGCGTCCCATTGTTCGAGGGCAGCTGAATATGGAGAAATGTGTGAAACGGTCTGAGTTTTAAATGTTGGCAATGAGTCCAGATTTAATACCCCCGGGGGCCAAACACAACCTGGGCTGAGAGTGGCATGTGCAGCCCCCACCAGTGGATGCTGGGCCTTACTTAGGACAGGGCGGGCACCTCAGGCCCTGCTGGCCTGTCCTCCTTGGGCCCCGGGCAGTACCGACCAGCCCTCCCTGGACACTGAGCTGCTCTGACCAGAAAGGCGCCCGCCTCACACCCCCAGAGGTGGCCAGCTCAGGCCCAGCTGCCCTACCGGCTTGGGGCAGTGGATGTAGCGGGCCAGGCTGATGATGAGGTCGTGTGTGATGGGGTCCACCAGGTTCCGGAAGCTGGCGTAGCGGTACAGAACGTCGTCCAGAGAGGTCGACTCCATGCCCAGGTCCTGCAAGAGTGAAGGACGCCCAGAGGTCAGGGGCGGCCCGGCCCTACGTTGAGTCCCACCCAACATGCCCAGAACAGCCCCCTGGAGGTGACTTAGGGCTCCCCCCCCCCACCAACACCCTGGCCAGGGAGGAGACCCTCCTTCAAGAAGTTTTCCCAGCTGCAAGAAAGCATCTCAGAACCTCCTCCAGAGGGCCAGGAAAACTCCTGTAGAGATGGCCTTCCCAGTGCATGCATGTCTCCCAAGCCCTCCAACCTCTGGACGAAGACCTCCCCCCCAACCCAGGACGAAGCCAAAGGTGGGCTGGTCATGGTACTTTCCACGTAGAGCAAACCTTGGAAATGGCATGCGTCGTGACCCCCCCTGCTCTCTGATAGGGTCCTATGTACTGATACTTGTTTTTTTCATGCTTCTGAGGTCATTTTTACTGCTTCTTATGTAGATGACCCAACCTCAGTGTTCCTTTGCCTTGGAGGGGGTGGGGGTTCTGGATTGTGGTTTTGAAAGGAAAAGTGGCCAGGCATCCAGAAGAAAACCCCAGGGCTCCTTCAGAAAGGATATCAAGTAGGAGGGAGGAGAGGGACTCTGGGGGAAAGGGGCCCTGGGTGGGGTGGGGGCAGAGGTTCCCCAAACCTGAGGAGGGACAAGGGTTTGGGGGGCACCACACACTGAGAGCCCCCGCTGGGAGCCTCTGCAGACATCCTTGCCCACCAGCAAAGGACCCCACGGACTTGGCCAAGAATAGTCACCAGTGTGGATTAGGACCCACCAGTGTGGATTAGGGGCCCTGCTCCAAATGTTCTGGACTGTATAGGACCCCCAAGATTCCTGCACAACCCCAGGGAAAGAGCAGGCTCCCCAAACATGACTAAAGCTTGAATTCCCCACCAATCAAGCTGAAACAGCATTAATCGCTTTAGAGAAGCAAAGAAACATGGTTTTCTACCCTAGAGGGTTAGAATAAACTTTATGCCCTCTAGATGTGAAAGAACATGGGTAAACACCGTGACTTTTCTCAGACACCTCTCCCCAGTTCCTGTTGTCCTTGGTGCCTTGCCCAGACCAGACCGTGATGGCAGGAATGATGACATTCCTGCCCCCTGCCCACCCTGAGGACCAAGGGGGCCACTGAGGGTGGACAGGGAAAGCAAGGAGACCCACTTTTGCTGCCCTCACCCTCCAGACCCCTAGGCCCCCAAGCCGCATGCGGAGCTACCCCAGAAGAGGAAGCCTCACAGGCTGGGTGGCCAGAGTCCAGCACCGTGGGGACAGGAAATATGTGGCTGATGGGTGAGTTCCAGCAGGGGTTCCCTCCCTGCCATGTCAGTGGGGGATCTTGAACTTTTCCAAACACCTTCCCTGGGTGATTCTTAGAAATCCCTGTTAAGGCAAGTAGGCTGGGCATCATGATTCCCAATTTACAGATGGAGAAACTAAGGCCCAGGATTTCAGGAATGGAATGTACAACATGATGACTATAGTTAACACTGCGGTGTAGGAGATTCGAAAGATGCTAAGAGAGTACACAGCCTAAAAGTTCTCATGGCAAAGAAAAGAACATGTTTTTTTCTTTTTTTTTCTCCCCCTAACTATACGAGGTGAAGATGTTAACTTACTGTGGTCGTTTCATAGCGTATGTAATTTAATCATTATGCTGTGCACCTTAAACTTATACAATGCTCTAACTCAGTTATATCCCAGTAACAATGAAAGAGAAAAAAATCACATATGATACAGATGTTTTTTATTTTTATTTTTTTTAAAGATTTTATTTATTTATTTGACAGAGAGATAGAGAGAGAGCACAAGTAGGCAGAGAGGCAGGCAGAGGGAGAGGGAGAGGCAGGCTCCCCGCTGAGCAGGGAGCCCGACACGGGGCTTAATCCCAGGACTTTGGGATCATGACCTGAGCCGAAGGCAGATGCTTCACCGACTGGGCCACCCAGGCGCCCCAATAAAGATGTTTTATTTTATTTTATTTTTTAAAGATTTTATTTATTTATTTGAGAGAGAATGAGAGCGAGAGAGAGCACATGAGAGGGGGGAGGGTCAGAGAGAGAAGCAGACTCCCTGCCGAGCAGGGAGCCTGACGCGGGACTCGATCCCGGGACTCCAGGATCATGACCCGAGCCGAAGGCAGTCGCCCAACCAACTGAGCCACCCAGGTGCCGATCCAATAAAGATGTTTTAAACAAGAATTTCAGGAATGGTGGGGGTGGGCCTATGCCTCAGCCAGGGGCCCATTTTGGGATTGCTCTGCCTATTTACCACGGGAGTGAGTTGGGCAGGAGTGGGGCTGGAGGGTGGAGGTGCTGCCCTGAGGTTTGGTGGCTGACATTTCTAAGGGCAAAGAAAGAAAGGGTCTTTGCTGGGGTAATCTGGAGGGGACTGGGCCTCAGACTTGCTGAACCTGCCCTCCGGCCGGGTCCTACCCACCACCACGGTAAGGACACTTTGCTCCCTCCTCCTTGTTAGAAAGGAACGGACACCAGTCTTGGGGGTCTTGTTTTCCATTCACCAGAAAGGACCCTCAGAGGCAAGAAGCCCTGTGTCGGGTTCTCTGGCTGCCGAAATAATTTCCTGGGGACCTAGATGCAGGGGCTCGAGGTCTGGTGTGGATGCTGCCAAAGGGAGGCTTGCCAGAGAGAGGCTTTGCCCGGTTCCAGAGCTGAAGGCCTTTGTGGAACCAGATACAACACCACCATGCCTCTGTCCCTACCCTGGCTTGTTCCATCCCTCGGCCACGGCTGCGTCCTGGGCAAGCTACCTCATGTCACTGAGTCTCAGTTTCCTCATCTGTAAAATGGAGCCAGCGACCCACCATCACAAGTAGGTGAGAGAAATAAAACCAAGTAACACATAAAGCCTCCGACAGAATATCACCAGACAGAAGAATCACCATGCAGAAGAATATCACTGACACAGCTCTCCCCACCCCACAATCCTTCCCTCCACCCCCTCCCCTCTGCAAGACACCTCCTCTCCTCATGCAGTGGTTCGTGGCCTCTTTTTGGACCACGGACCCATTTGAGAATGTGACAAAAGCCACACCCTCCCTCTCTGGAAAACCTGGGAGTTAGGTCAGCAGGGCCTGGACCCGTGGGATCTCAAAGCACAAACTGTTTCTCAGGAATGTGTAGAAGTGCAGCCCACCCTCCCTGCGGCAGGAGGAGGCTGGGAATGTAGGAAGGGGGGGCGTCAATGGGCCTCTGTTCTAGGGTCTTGGAAGCCCCATGTGTCACAGGGCCGAGGCTCCCCTTTCCCGGGGCGGGGAGGTGAGGGAAGGGCAGGGTCCCATGGGCGGAAATGGAGGGGTGGTGATTGCCATGGTCAGAGGCTGGATTTGTGGCCATGGGAGAAGGACCAGAGATAGGTTTATCTTTCCTTTCCTGTCTGTCCTGCAGGCTGGGCTGCCCCTCTGTGACTTGTTGCCTGAACATCAGCCTCTGCCTCCCCCTCCTTGCCCCCGTGTACCCCTCTGCTCAGCGTGCACCCCGTGCCATGCTGGTCTCCTGTTACAGTTGTCGCTGCTCCCTGTCCCCTGAGGGCCCCTGCAGAAAGCACCACATTCCAGTTCTACCCAATCCCCGACACACCGTCAGTCAGTGGGCAAGAGACTCCTTCCCTCCTGAACTCTGTTGCCCCATCTGTGAAATGGGCCGATGAGCCACACTCGTAGTTACCAAACCGTGTTTTCATGTTTTCAAGATCTGGGGGCTGATGGCAAACACGAGAGAGGCCAGAAAAGTCTGCGAGGCTTGGGGCCCAGCTCTTGACAGAGCAGCTCTGCTGGCCACCCTTTGGTTAAGAAAAAAACAAAAACAAAAACAAAAAAAACCCAACAAAACAAAAGCAACCCCCAGAAGCAGTTCTGTGGCCAAAGCAAAGTTTGAAAACCCTGGCCTGGCTGTCTGCTTGGGCTCTTGTCCTCCTACCAGCCCTGCCCATAGAGGCCCGTCCATCTGGGGAGGACCAAGAAAAGCCTTGTTGTGAAGCCCGGAGGCTGGGGCAGGTCTGGGAAGACGCAGAATGTTCTTTCCAGAAACCACCCCCCCCCCCCGCCCCGTTCCATGTTCTCCTGCCCTCGTGGTCACTCTGGGCGCCGGGCCTGCTGTTGTCTGGGGTCACCCAGCTGTTGCTTGGGGAGGTGGGGGCAGGCAGGGAGGAGGGGAGTGGGGAGGAGGGTCCCCCCAGGAAGGCAGACGTGGCCCTGCTCACTGCGCTTTGGGTCACTGTGAGTCATGCCACCGCCCTCCCTGTGAATTCCAGCTGGGGTGGGGCTCCTGAAGGGCCAGGGCTGGAAGTTGCGAGAAGCAGTAACAGGGAAGACTGGCTGGCCGAAGGCTGCTGCATGTTTTATTGCTCTATTTCTTTGTTTTGACCCCACCTCGGCCCACCAACGAACGCTTGTGCTGCTTGAGGATATTTCACGCGTCCCAAGGACCTCGGGGTACTTCCGGTCTCTCGGGTGTCCTCCCCACCCCTCTCCCCAAGGAGAATTTACTGGGGACGCCTGCATCACAACTTTGCCCCCACTTGAAGCTGCTCCCATGCTAGGCTCTGCCCCGGGCTCTCAGGAAGGGACAAAGAGGGGGACAGGTGAGCAGCACCCGCTGCCTGCACACAGAGCTCCTTCAGGCCACCCTGGGCATGGCTTTGGCCTTGGAGGGGCAGGTCTGCCCTGCAAAGTACAAGGCAGTAAGGAACAGGGCTTCCTCAGGATGGTCTAAACAGCACCAACGCTAGGAACTGTGCACGTAGGGCTCCTCATCAGAAAACCTGGGAACATCAGACCCAGTGCCTGGGTCTCTGCCAGAGGCAACTTTGCTTGGAGTGTCACCCGCAGGGGACCGAGGGGGCCAATGGCCAGCCCACTCCACCTCACCTAAGTGGGGTCCCACTGTTACTTGAGTGAGAAGAACCAGGTTTAAGGACTCGTTCCGATGGGAAGAGAGATGATGGGCTTGAGGTTAGGGGTATGGCTTTCCAAAAAGTGAGCT